GTGCGGTTTAAGTTTGAAGTCTAAGCTTCAAAAACAGAAGAGGGGAGTGTGCTTGATATCGAGATACAGATGAGCAGAATAAATCAATCCTTTAAAGGCAAAAATCAGGATTTAACAACAAGAACAACAAAGTATTTCTCTACTGATTGCTGTCAGCTCTTGAGAATCAGTGTGGTCTCAGCTGCAGCAACACTGGCACCAGGGAGCGTGTTAGAAAAGCGGGATTTCAGAGCCACCTGCGACTCGCTGAATCAGAATCTGCATTTTAACATGATCCCCAAGTGAATCATATGCACATTAAAGCCTAAGAAAAAAACCCCATGATTCTCAACACTAGCTAGACAAGAAAATCTACTAGGAACTTAGACCAGTTAAGGGGTCCTGTCCTCACAGGCTCTTAGCATGGGGTGCAGCAGACATCGGTCTTTAAAAGCTGCCGGGGTTATTCTGACATGAAGTGAGGGCTGAGAACCACTTCTCTGAGCTACGAGATGAGCCTCCTTGAAGAAAGTAAGGACAAGCTGAGATGCTATTCTTCAAACAAAAAAATAAACTTTCATCTCAAATAACTTCTCACCCACTGTGTTCCTCACACAAAGCCCAGGGCATCTCAGAGACCCTGATATGACTCTTATTTACGTTTTCCTAAATGTGTTCTACAAAAGACCTACATCAGAATCACGGGAGATGCTTGCTAACCGGTAGCATTCCTGGGCCTCAACCCAGACCCACTGCATCAGATTTTATGGGGTGGAGCATTTCTAACAAGTGTCTTCATGGGTTTTATTTACAAACAGTTTGAAAGCCTCTGGACTATAAGAAGGGAGTAAGGGGCCCATATTCAAATAGAATTTGCCCAGACTGAACACTAGTGTCAGGCGGAAATTTCCTGAATTTTCTGGAAACTGAAAATTCCTAGATAAGAATTCTAATGAGTGATATTTCAAAGGTTCTCATGACTGAGGATGTCAAACAAATACAGAGGTCCTGTTACTAATCTCAACTTGTCTGTAAGGTAAATAGAAGTGAATGGTCTCCCTTCTCAAAACAGAACAGCACACTATGTAAGGCTTGAATACAGAATGCTGCAGAGCGAGAAACTCCAGGTAGGAAAGGGTATATGCCCCCCACCCCACTTCTCCTTCCTTGGGTTCACCTGCTTCGTTTTCACTGCCACCCTCTGTTCCCCTTTGGCTCTTTGTCTCAACTATGGCTCATTTGGGTCCGAGAGAATAAAAGGAGGCGGGAAGGGCTTCCCTGGTGGCGCAGTGGTTGAGAGACCGCCTGCCAATGCAGGGGACGCGGGTTCGTGCCCCGGTCTGGGAAGATCCCACATGCCACGGAGCGGCTGGGCCCGTGAGCCAAGGCCACTGAGCCTGCGCGTCCGGAGCCTGTGCTCCGCAACGGGAGAGGCCACGACAGTGAGAGGCCCGCGTATCGCAAAAAAAAAAGAAAAAAAGAAAAAAAAAGAAAGGAAAAAAAGGAGGGAAAAACTATGAGGAAACGAGATTCAAAGGAACTGAGGAATAAGAAACTCCTTCCTCTGATTGCGTTTTGCCAGATGGGATGGTTTGCTTCATCCTCTGACTCCCCATCCTGTGGCTGAACGTGCCCTCGTCTGCAACGTGAAGGTCATGTTATGGTCACAGCTCAGGAAAGGCTAGCCCTGACAGGGGAGTTAGATCAGCCCTGACCGTGACTCTGCCCTGCTCACCACAATCGGGGGATCAAAGCTGTACCATCCTAACGCTGAAGAAGGAACCGTGAATATGCGAAGCTGCTGGAGGCCAGTTTGAATGATTCTAATTGTAGATGGGTGTTTGGACTTCTTTACAGCTTTCTCCACATTTCACACTGTGCTTAGAAACAGTGCACAGTGTTCTTCATATTTATTAGGCTTAGTAAAGAATTCTACTTCAGAGAGGGAATATATAGAAATTTAAAGTTGTGTAATATTAATTTTGATTTGGTTAGTCACACTTCTGAGAATCCCAGCTATTCCGGAGGTAACGTCTTTAGGGCGATGCATTCACAAGCCAGAGTGCAGCAAGTGGCAGCAAAGTCACGAAGCCTTGTGTTTCTCACAACTGGCCATTTAAAAAATGTGAACACCTCACTGTGATCTCAAACTCATTTCAACCTCTTTCCCAAAATAATTTTTTCCCTTTCCTGAAAACCCATCAATAACAAAGCCACTTTCCAGATAATTAGCTGGAAAATCTTGATGCTCTACTTCCTTTTATGTATCCTATTCATCCACGTGCCCATCTATCCATTCATCCATGATCCACCATTAGTCCATCTGTCCGCCCATCCATTGATCAATCCATCCATCCACTGAGCTATCCCTCTATCTGATTTTTAAAATTTTTTAAAAATTTTATTGAAGCATAGTTGACTTACAATGTTGTGTTAATTTCTGCTGTACAGCAAAGTGATTCCGTTTATATATATATATATATATATTCTTTTCCATTATGGTTTATCACAGGATATTGACTATAGTTCCCTTTGCTATACTGTAGGACCTTGTTGAGGGAAGGATTAGGAGTTTGGGATTAGTAAATGCAAACTATTGATATTATATATAGGATGTATAAACAAGGTCCTCAACCCGATTTATGCTAAGTGAATAGACTCCTGACTTATATATATATTCTCTATGTGTCTAATTAATCTTCCATTCTATTACTCCTTTGTTTAAAAAATATTTTTCAAAACTAAAAAAACTTTAAATAGCAAAAAACAAGTTTACACTATATAAATCCCAAATCCTCAGCCGGGTTTTAAGACACTGCTCCACAGGTTCATTCTAACCTCTAATCACATTTCTAGTAACTTAATATGCATCCTCTACTCAAAATGAATCATACTGTACTCAAAATGAATCATTTTCATCACAACATCCCATCTTCTACACATACTGTTTATTAAACAATTATTTGTTCACTGCTCTATGCCGTATATTAGACATCATAGGTTCAGAGGTGAGGCCCCCAACATTATGGACACCGTATCTTTGCCGTAGAGGCACACCTGGAGCACTTATGCTGCAATTCACATAATACAGGTGCGTGCCATGGACGACAGGGGCATAGTGTACAGGGCGATTAATTTTGAGCAATAGTTCAGAAAGGTGCTACAGTAAAGGGTGAACAGCAATGTGACAAGAGAGGAGGAAGAGGACATGACTCCAGTTTTCTCTCCTCTGCACAACTAAGTAGTACACATCTTCCACTTCAGCCACTTCCCTGACACCATTTCCTTATCACTCCCAAGTCACTGCTTGCCTCTGAACTTGCACAGCACTTGCGGTCTGATCCACTCAATTTACAACTCAGGTATATTTAACGTTGCTCAGATTCTTTTCCCCATTTGCCCCTTTTGTGTCATTAACAAACACGATATCCTTATCACTTAGGCGTCCATGAACTGTTCTCTATTTAGTGAAAGAGGAAGCAAACTTAGATCATCTCTGAAGTCCCTGTCTTTAATAATTCATAGAGACTGAAACAGCAACAGGCTGTATCTTAACTGGACCGTCCCCTCCTCAAAAGCAGAGATCACCTACAATTTTCTGAATGCCCTAGGGAAAAAGCTGATGATAATTTAACAAAGGCATTTTATATAAAGACTGTTGTGGTAAAATATATCAGACATTAATTAGCATGTGGTGGCTCAGGTGGCCAAAATCATGGAGTTAATTACATTAGCTTTGCTCTGTTCCTCGGTCCCCAACCACACCCCCAACCCTAGTTAGGCTTCAGCGAGACCAGAGATAGAGAGGGGGTAAGGTTCAGGGCAAACTGCACCTCACTCCTGAGAACCTCCTCCAGTGGCAGTGTCAGGCTCACCATCATTACAACACGAAGGTAGTCATTTAGCAACTCAAAAGAGCAGAATGTTGAAAATAGATTATTTCTCTGCTTACAACACATTTCTTTTCCCTGTTCTCTACAATGTTAATACAGACTTTGAACACAAGAATTATTATTAAGAATTTTGAAGAAAGGAAGGAAAGGAGGGATAATATTTTCTTTAAATTACAAGCTCCCATAAGAGAAGCTTTACTGTAATGAATGCGATCTGGAAAAATGCCCATTAACTTTAGTAATAAGAACATCATTTTGGATCAATCCTAATTCTATGACTCCCCTCCTTATATGGGGTGACTAAACAGTTTTAAATCTTTTAGTTGTTTAGCGTGATACTTCAGGGAATCTTGTCTCAAAATGTAAAATGTGCACTTCCCTTCATGGACACAGGAAATATTTTATCATCCAGTCTCACATGAAAATAACAGAAAATCAGAGCCCACAGAAGAGTATTGATAAGAAACCTCAGAGAGTGGGAAGAAAACTAGATGAGGAGACAAAGACCTGGATTCTAGAACAATTTCTATCCTTTAAAGAGCTGTGTACTTTAGATATGTCATTACATTTAACTTTTCTAAGGCTATTTCTTTATCCTCAAATGAGGTTGATAACTACTGATTCTATAGGACTTGGGCAAAGACCAAATGAAACCTGTGAAATGTAATATAGTTTTGCTAGCCTTGGTGGTATCTGTTGTTCATGATTATCATGAATAATAAATCATTAATCTCTCTTTCCTCTGAAGAGAGGGAAAAAAGCAGTCGGGTCTAAATTACAATAGAAAGAAAGAAAGATAAGTTCATAAAGGGCTTCCTAACTACAGGAGTTGAGAAACCTGAAACCTAAGAGTTTATAGAATGACCTTTCTTGAAAATCTGCAAGGAAACTATTAGCAGTTAGGTTTTTGAGTACCTCTAGTAAAGCCTTATGTGGAAGTAGAGGGATAGATCCTAGAACCTCTAGGCTTTGCCTAGCCCAGTCATGTGTGAGGCTGTCCCTTGCTGGAGAAACTGGCTGTCTTCCAATGCTAGGGGTCCTACGTGGTGCTATTTCACTTGGTGTTGGGAAATGTGTTTTCAAGAAGGCATCGAAGCCTCCAGGTGAAACTCATGAAAACTGACTTACCTGGTTGCCTCCACTCTTGGGGTTCACAAACACAAGCAAAGGTTTCATGAGAGGAGAAGAGATAGGTTTTATCACAAAAGGACGACCTTTGTTTTCCTAATGAAGAAAGAAAGCAGAACTATTGAGACATACATCTGTGACTTGAAAGGCAGCCCCAAAACAATGAAAGTGAGAAATTACTAGCACCACCGCTACCCCCTTACCCCCTAAAAAAAACCCCGCCCCACCCCCCCAAAAAAACCTCTGCATCTTGTTTCACAGGGCTAACTCAAAGTAAGTGAGAAAGTATCTCAAGCTATAACTTGCCCCCAAGAATTAAGCCACGCTTTTGTTTTTATTCTGTATACTCAAAGCGTTCTAGAAACGTTCTAGCTCTTATCTTCATCTTTATAATCTTTGGGATAATACTTCCACAGACAAGTGCAAATGCTCTGATTCTGAAGTGGCAGGAGGTTTCATATATATATATATATATTTTTTTTAAGGAATATTTATTTATATACTTATTTATATATATGTGTGTGTGTGTGTGTGTGTGTGTATATATATATATATATATATTTTTTTTTTTTTTTAAGGAATAGGCAGAATCCCAGTGTGGTTAGAATGAGGTGAAGGAAAGAGTGGCAGGAGATAGATCGGAAAAATACGCTTGGCCAGGTCAAGTCAGACAGAGGTGGCTATGGAAAGGAGGATGGATTTCACTGGACCATCACCCTCAAACACTTACTTCAGTTCCTCTTTTACTGGCTTTTCTTTTAAAGCTTGTTCTCTTCTTCTTCCGATTTGAAGCCTTCAGCGAGTTCTGTAGGGAAAGAAGGGACCACCTGAGCTCGCAGGCAGACGGCCCACGAGCTTTCCCATGCAGAACCATCTAGAAGATGACGGCAGCACATGCTGTTCGACGTTCATGCTTCTCATGCTTTGACACTTCCAAGCCACTGCTCATGGGTAAGCCACACACAGAACCCAGTCGCGTGCTTCAGAGTGAGCGACTGACTCCCCACCACACGGAGAGGCAGGGACTTAGAACCCTGGAGGCTCTCATGGACTCACATAACAACACATGTTATACCTGCCAACCCTCCCAGTAAAAATGGAAGAATCCCAAATTCTCTGAGGGGCTCCAGTCTCCCGCCCAACCAGGTCCGTCTCCCGCCCAACCAAGTTCAAGTTCACCTCCTGGTATGGAGATCACCTATGTGGAAATGTAAAAAAGGAGGCCATTTTTCACGTTTTCCTTTTTCGTTTTTCGTTTTCTCTTTTTACTTTTTATAGGGAATGACCTGTTCATAAAATGACTCAACCCCACTGGAACTTTATGATCCAACTCCCCTATCAGCATTAATGGCTTGGTTTTAAAATGCAAAGACTCGAGTTACTTATAATAATAGAGTGGGAGCCACTGCTCTTCCTTTCTCTGGCTAAAGACCCATTAGTTTAAAAAGTCCTCCCTCCCCTGGTAACATTGATTTTTTTTTTTCTTCTCATAGAATTGCATCCAACTTGCTGAAACACAGTGACCCCAAATTTACATTCCCAGTCTTTCTAGGGATTTTATGGACCCCAACTTTGTGATTATTACAGCTATTTATTCTTAATAGTTTATACAGATGCTTTGAGAAGAACCTCTCTCAGGGGACAGTCACAGCTCACTGGCTGAAGACAAGGCAAAGCCAGATTTAATTAGTGAAAAGTCAATAGTTAATTAGATTGCCATCTTCATAAAGGCAAGCTATTACTACCATGTCGTAGAGTTTTACAGAGTGTTGAAAGCCTGAAATACAAAATTCTTAACTTAAAAGCTTATATAAGTATATACAACTGCATTGTTTGAGCAATTAAATGTTTTCAAACAGCTTGAAGAAACTTAGGTATTTATTCTTCAACATTTTAGAGTACTTTTTCTTAGCATTCAAAATAAACCTTAGTCTAGAGCACATATAGTAAAGCATCCAAGTTACAAGACTGAAACTATTTAGTTTTTATTTTACTTTCATTTGAACCATGAAAAAAATAAGTTGATTTGTGGCCTGTGCTCACCAAGGATGAAGGAAACTTTCTTGGACAACCATTTGTCCAAGTCTTCAGGTTCTCTGAATCTCCCCAGAAATCGGAAGTTCCTGGGTGTTCGAGATTCCAGGTGATCTGTCATCACTCACTCTAGACTATACTTCTCCTGCAAACAGATCTCCACATTTCTGAATTCCTCTTTAAATGGGTGTACTGCCGTGCCCCTCTTTGGGAAACTTTTGCATTCTTCGAGTATTTGCTATATTTTGACTACTTTCAGTTTTATTAAAAGGGAAAAAAAATTACTCGGAACCTTTAAACTTTTAATCAGCCAAATATTCCAAGAAGAATGCTGAAAACTATTAGACCGACAGAAGCTGTATCTACCTGATGGCACTCAGTGATGCTCTGAGTGCTGGTACTTGGGCCCCAACAAACATTCTAATTTAATTTGTTTGGGGTGAAGCCCAGGCAAAGATACTTTTTAAAAGCTCCCCAGAATAGAATAATAAAATAAAATAAAAGCTCCCCAGGGAATTCGAATGTGTAGCCGGGGTTGAGAACCCCTGTTTGAAGTACAAAGGGCAGAGTGAGTAGCCATATGTACTGCGGTAAAGCCAATCACCGCGGTGAGGAACGTGAGGTGTGGGATCTGCCAGGCTCGGTGTAAATTCTGAACCACCCTGTCACTTAGATCTGTGACCTTGGCCGAGTCAGTCAAACTTCTGAAATAACAGTTTCTTAATTTTAAAATGAAGTTGATAATACCTACCTCACAGGACAGTTGTGGAGTTTAAACAAGAAAAAGGATGTGAAGCAGTTAACTTGGTATCCGTCCCATGAGAAGCACTTCCATAAATGCCAGTTGCCTCGTTCATAGCTCTAGATCCCCAACACCCAGCACAAATGCCCGGCACATGGTATGAACTCAAATCGTTGTGGAAATAATAAACCAATATTTTTAGAGTTCACAACATTGAGTGAGTCTTTCCTGATTTTGAAAAGGATCCTTGGGAAGTGAGTGATTGTTTCCTAACTTCTTGGCTGTTTTCATTCATTTAGTGCCAAGAGAAAGGCAGGACCCCGAGTGCTTGCAGGAACACACTGTCGGCCTTGCTTCTTGACAGCACTCAATAATTAAACTCCAAGAGGTAGGTCGAATGCATCAAGCTGAGGTTGTTTCCTAAACTTGCCTGATCACAGAAATCATAGTTCTTCAGGTGATTCTGATGATCAAGTATGTTTGAGAAACAGAGGGTTAGAAAAACACATCAAAATAAGGCTTGATGTCCGACAACAGGGCAGGCGGGGAGCTCAACTCTAACAGGGAACAGACACACAAAACGGCCTTTGTTTGAAACACAGATACAAGTGCTTCTGAGCCTCACCGAGCCACACGCATCTGAGGCCATCATCCCACAGAACAAGAAGGGGGCAAAAATAAAGCACGGTGGTTGACTTACAGTACCTGGACGCTTCTATGTGAGCTCTGAGTAAGCTTACAGCCCTATGGATGGTCAAATAGCAAAAGATAAGCAGTACGGAACTTCACAGCACACATCCAAATTCCCCAGGCTTCCTTCTGTTCCCGTGTAAATATGTATCTCTGTCTCAATATATCACTTCTTTTAGAAGGCAGCGTAATTCAACGAGGAACAGATGGACGTGAAGGCAGATTCGGGCTGTGTTTTGGCCAAGACAAGTCTTCTAGCCTTGCTTATCCACACTAACACTTACCCTGCCTGGTCAGTATTGTGAGGGCTAAAAGAAACATGCTTTCCAAGAATGTAAAAATTATGCCAAGACGTTACTGTCTAGAATTGTTGGTGATACAGTCAAGAAACCTTTAATACTTGTCCTGTGTCCTAAAACAAAGCAGCCCTCTTAACAAGGGCGGCTAACTCAGTGATACAAAGGGTTCACTTTGCAAGTTCAACACTTTCCGAACAGTGAAATACTGTGCTCTCATTTGGATTTTTACATTCTTCTGATTCCAACAGCATTCACCCCCTGTACGTTCTGTGCCCACTCTTTTGTTAAAGTCCTAAGAAAAGATAAAGGCCTTTTGTTTTCTTGTATCAGATATTGGGCAGAATTACCTTGCCACAAAAATGATCCTATCAACACAATCTTTATCATAGTTATGACTCCTTCCTGGGCTGTTACAAAATCTTACGGGTGAATCACTCAGCTGTGAATGAAGCCTAACGTACTACTCTTATTACCCTTCAGGGATTTCCTCAGGTGATGGGATCACAAAGGATCTAAATAATAACAGATCTAAAGAGAAGATATCTCACTTCATCATTCCAAATGAAGCCCTCCTCCATCATACACTGGACAAAACTCTGATGGACAATAAGAGAGCAATCCATGGACTTTGCCTATTAAAGAACGTTCTCACTCTGCCCTGCTTCAGCTGTACCATTGCAGCAAAGGTTGTTGTGAGGACAGGTAAGCAGAAGGATCAAGAAAACTCATTCCAAAGTTAAGGACAGGGTCTCCGCAGCTTCTCAGGCGTATTCGGCCAAATCACAGCAAGTATCGCTTGACCTTTAGAACTAATCAAAGGAAGTCACTTGGGCACTGAGGGAGATTGTTGGCCATTGCTATTACATATCATGGGGTCCCCAGCATTTTAAGATCATCCAGTCATAAGGAATAAGGACTAGCATGAAGAAAGGCAACGCAAGGCTAGGCAGGAGTTGATAGTGACATTTTTATAAGTAGACCATTAGAAAGAATATGAACATCCATTGGTAAGGAGTTGGCTTAAATTAACTGCAAACTATCCATAGTGTGGGACATATACAGTAGTTTTCAAAAGAGTCAAATCTGTATGTATTAATATAGACTTTTCCCTATGATTTTTTTTAACTGGGAAAGCCAAATTTTAAAGCATTAAGTGGAGAACGATGTTAGTTATTAAAAATGCAGTGTCCCCCCCCCAAACTTAACCCACGAAAAGTTCACGTCACGCAGGTCTTGCTCCACCAGCTCCAAGTGCTTACACTCGCATCTGAACATCTTTAACGCGTTCATCCAGTCAAAATATCATCTGCTAACATTTTCAGTCCAAACACTGACATCTGTAACTTTAAATGTACGTTTACTTTATATCAACAGATTCAGGTTTGGTTGTTGAAATTTGGTTTTCTTGTCATTTTAATTCCTTCCAGTCATCTACCGTCCATCATCTTTTAACTTCTAGGTCTCTCTAAGTAATCTGGTGACGGAACCCAGCAAATCATCCAGGCAGCCCTCATTTCCCTTACCATCAAACTTTCATGCAGCTCCCAACTCCACAGCTGGTCACGGAGTAATTATCCACTCAGAACCAGCCATCTTTCAACAGAGAAGGAAAATATATGGTTTAATTCCACCTCTTTACAACCCACTTCTGACCATTATACACTCCAGCAGATTTCCTTTACTCTTCTTCTCTCATCTGTTTAGACACAAACATCACAAATAAAGCTGACTTTATTTGATGACCCATCTTCACTGCTGTTCTCAGTTATGTCCTACCAACTTGCATTGTTCTTCCTCATCCCTCTTCCCAGGGATGCCACCCACATCCTTCAAAACCAAGCACAAATCACAGATTTTCCACTGAGCCTAGGCTGCTCTCCACGACTGAAACTGCTCAATTCTGCTTCATGTCTTCACTGTGTTTCTACATCTTAGGTGGCATTTACCTCTCTCTGCCTCAGATGTGTAGGCATCTCACTGACCAGGGCTATTTCAACCAACCTGTCTGGCCCCTTCCTCTCACCACCATATATGTATCTC